TCAGAATCTACTTGATGGGAATGAGTATGGTTTATCTGGAGAAAAAGAAATTTGCATCATGTGTGTGAAACAGAGAAACTTGTGTAACCAGTCAGAAAAGAAAAACTCAAAATGTTTTCCACTCAAACAAGCAGAAAATTTGTGAAACCCAGAAAAGCAAACCTCTCATAGGTTTCACTTTCCTGTGAAACTTGTTTCCTTTAACTATTTCCCTCAACTATTGCAGTAGGCCCTCATTTTTTCCTTGGCGGCTGAATTTTCACATTTTTCTGATCCATCTTCCACAAGTCTACCGGAATAACTTTTCTAAAATCCAAATCTGTATCACAGTTCACATTAAAACCTTTACTGGGTTTTCTGTAATTATTAGAAAAATCTTAAAATTTCACATTACCTACACATAGAATTTTTCTATCTTAAAACTTGATTAAATCTTAAGATACTTTTACCTCTATACACTTACCTTACACAATTACACAAACAACTAAACTAACAGTTGAACAACAGTGATCCCTGTGATAAATCTTAACAATATGACAAAAGTCTGATGTTATCTTGGAAGGTGTCCTTAAAGATAGCTCTAGAACAGTTTCTAAGAGTTTGTATATTCTAAATATCTCAGTTAAGTTTAAAAAGAAGGTAAGTTCTTCTTGGAATACAAAGAACATTTCCAAATTACATATAGATAATTCCAGTCTCAAATATTTTCAAAAGACATGAAAAAATTTAAGTTAGAAATTATACAGAAAATGGTTACATGATACAATTCTGGACATTTACCTCATCTGTGTAAGCTTAAAATGGAATGTAATTCATAAAATGTATTGAAACATTTTTGTGCAAGACCTCTACTCTTTTATTAGTTTAATGATTCATCTGAACAGAATGATCTTTAAAATCAACCATAGGTTTTAAAGGATAATATTTCTTTAGACTACTATTTTGATTAATGGATCCATTTTTCCACATTAACCTTTCAGTCACAACTGTCAGACAGGAGTCAAGATAAATGTGACGTTTTTAGGCAGAGGAACAAAAATAGAAAAGTTTTAGAGAAAGACTAATTTTTCAAATTATATTCACTATTGGGGTAATAAAATGAAATTGGCAGGGGATTAAGTATAATCTATAAATTCAAATGATACTGTCCACTCCTAAACAGTGACAGGAAATAATACCTTATTCAGTGATGCTATCAACGTTCAAAACAACCTTCTCTTTTATAAATTCAGAGTCTATGTAACAGTCTATTTGAATATCCTAATATATTAATAAATTGGTCAAGTTGTTGGAACTGGCCTGGTAAATAAATAGAAAAGTCAAACTTGTGAGTTGAAACCAACTTATAGCCAACCTTCCAGCAGGTATTTGGAGGCTGTAAACTGCACAGCGGGAGATGATTTTTCTCCTCACAAGTCACTAGTGAATTTGAACTTGGCACTTCTAAGTTAGCAGCACAAGTCCCACAGACTATACTATCAGAGAGCTCCCTACTAAATAAAAAAGGTCATCTTAATATAGGAACAAAATTTTTTTAGTGCAACTAAAATTTACCTTCTTGCATAGTGATAAGCCAATTCTCAAAACATGATACTTGTGCCCCATAGCAAAACATACATACTACCACCCAAGGGAATGACTATGAAGATCAAAACCAAGTTTCATTTGAATGACTAAGGAATGATTTATTTATTTATTTTAAAATACTACAACTTGATAATTGTATCTTAGGTATTTTATCCCTTCAGTGGTTATTAAAAGCCTCTCTCAGAAAGAGGGGCAGGTCAAAGGCATAATAGATAGATCATTCTGTTCTTTTCCCCTAAGTAAGGAAAATGCTATTCATTAATAAAATGGAATCTGGTGATTACATGTAAATTAGAAATATCCTCATCATTTCTACCTCCTGAATGAGAGATTGTAGTGCTTTATCTTTTCTGATAAACCAGACAATTGAGACAATATATTCATTGTAAGACATTTTATGCTGAACATGTAGAATTTACAAATAAAAAACAGAAGATAATAAGAGATGGTAATCTAAATTATTTAACAAACCAAAAACCAACCACTGTCAAGTCAATTCCCATTTCCAGCTCAGAGTAAGCCTCCATTGGGTCGCCAAGGCTGTAAATCTTTACTTAGAAGAGACTATCTGTCTTCCATGAAATACCAGTGAATTTTAACTGATGACCTTTAATTGGCAATGAAACACATAGCACATTACACCAGACAACTCCTTAAAATATTTCAATTTAAGGTAAACTGACCTTCAAAGTCTCAATAGTTAAAACCAGCTTACTGTCTCAGGAATTTAAATACTGACATCAGCAAATGAAAGCCAGTAGGGACCATTTACTGCTAATGAAAAGATTTTCACTCTTCATTTTTTTAAATTCCTCTCCACCACTACGCCATCATTTAAAGTAATTGATGATGCTTCCTACATATCAACATTTAACCATAGCTTGTGATTTACAATAATATTGTGTTAACTTGTGACTTCATTTTTTTACAAGCGACTTTAATCAGAGGATGAGAAAACTAACTTCTACTTCATATGCCTATGTAAAGACCAGGGTAAAGAATTATTTTGGTTACTTATAACTTAAATAAGAGACGTGAAAAGAATCCAATAGACATTCATAAGCAAGTTCTGCTGGAAAACCAAGGTTTGATGCTTATTACATACAGGGATCTTAGTAACTCCCACAGAAAATAAAAAATCAAAACAAATGATCGTTATTTCTCATATGTTCTGATTATTTCCCTTTATATAGCCATTTACATCAATGTACAATGTTGAGCCGCTCCCTGGTAAGAACATCTATATTCTTTTATCATACAAACCTCCTTAACTCTCAGTATTTTTGAATAAAGGAATATTCAGAAGCAGGCACCTAAAATTCTGGCATAAGGAAAACAAACACCTGTCTACATAGTGGGAAAATAGGTCCTATTTCTTAATATTAGTTTACAGAAACATTTTCTGTTCTTACAATGTACTATTGTATAAGGCTTACAAGAGCAAGGACATATTTTTCAGTGTTTTCTCCACAGTTGGCTATTGCAACCCCCATGCTACAAGGTTGATAGGAAGTCAAATGCAGTATGGAAGACAACTTAAATAATGATATGTTTCACTTTCCTATACGAATAGGAACCCTAAACCACCTGACTTTACATTTTGAATCTGAATCAATCCATAGTGGTTGACATTATCTGTAAGGATACTAAGAAATCTGCTAGCTCTCACAGCAATTTATTAATAAGCCTTACCAACGAATACTCAATATATCTACCTCTGTCAGAGTTCTATTATTGTCTACTGGTAGTACTTCATGATTGCTAGAAATGAAATGGAGAAAAGGTAGTTCCTAGCATTTCTAACTATAATTATTGCTACCTAATTTCATAGCAAGCATTTCTATTCTATAAAGAAAAAAGTAAATATTTCTAACTGAAGGAAATAAATTTATAAGACATAATAATTGATGTATTCCTCAAAAATAAAACTGAAGTGAAAATCTTAAAAATTTCTCTTAAAAACTAAATTTCTGGATTTGTTGCTAGGAGATAAATTTTCTAGAAAGTCATGGCAAATAAAATTTAAACATTAATAAATATTACATTACCTTAAAATTATTTTATATCACTACAAAGAAAAATATTTCCTTTCAAAATGAAATAATCAGAAGTCAAAATGCTTCAAATTGGGCCTCTAATAAACAATGTCCTGTATCATTTTAAAATGATAGGCAAACACCAGCTCCATTCACTGAATGGATATACTGAACAGTGATTAATATTTCCAAACTGTCCTTAAATTCCATTTTTAGTGGTGAGGCTGAGTGGCACAAATGGTCAAGCATTCAACTACTAACCCAGAGGCTGGCATTTAGGGCCTACCCAGAAAAACCTTGGGAGACAGGTCTGGTGATCTGCTCCCAAAAGGTTATAGCCTTGAAAATCCTATGGAGCAGTTCTACTATGCATACATGGATGGGGTCACCATGAGTTGGAATCAACTCAGCAGTAACTAACAACAACCTAAAAACTGATAACTTATTGTTAACTTCTCATGGAAGTTGAGCCCTAAAAAGAAGTCTTCAAGACTCGGTTTGTAAGTAATTTATTAAAATCTTCATGCTACTCTTAAGAAAGGACTTTCGTGACCTTGACTCCCCATACTTAATTCTACCCTTGCAGCCCAATACACACATACACACACACATACACACACTTTCTTTTTTCTCCCCACCAACTCTCCCCATTCCCCAAAACACATACTCCTAACTTCTCCTTTTCAGAGTAGAAAGGGATTCTTTAGACTTATGGCTCATTTGGCAATTGCTAAGAAACCTCACAGTTCAGCATCACCTCCGAAGATGGCAAGCCTATATATAACCTGAATATTTTACACCTACAGTGCAGTTAACATGTAGAAAGGATTAGAATGCATTACTGCATTTCAACATCCTCAATTTTCAATATCACAGATATCAAGATGGAAAAAAGACCTGCTTGTAGAACTTTACGAGTCTGCAGAACAGAATATATTACCATCACTATAAAAAATAATCAGGAAATACTAATTTTTACGTTCTACATGCACACCTTTATAAATTGTGTTTTTTCAATGTAGTAAAAGCTGGAGATCACCAATCTATGGTAAACTATGGCTTTATCATAGATATTTTTAAAACACGCATCAGTAAGTGCCCTGGGTAGTAACTCTAATATTGTTTTGAGCCCTGTTCAGTTCTATGTCTGTGCTTTGCACCTCAGAAGTGAGCCTGCCAAGGCACTTAAAAACTTATGTCTTTAGGGGGCTTCATAAATGGGCCACAATTTACACAACATAGAACCCTATCCATCAGCAGTTCAATCAAGAGTATTTTTTTTTTTAACACACACAGTATTATGAAAAAACTCAAACAAAACGAAGGCAAAAAAAAAGATATTATGTCACTAAGACAAAAGTTACCCCTATCAACAGTTCTTGGCTGCCTCCAGCAATAGAACATTGTTTCATTTATTCAGAATAAAGAAAAAGGAATTCAAAAAAAGCCCTTCAAACCTAACACAAAAACTACTCAAATGAAAATACATAAACTCAAATATATTCCACACAGCTCCACTTGAGGAAGTTTGCATAGCTCTGTATCTTTTTATCTATCCTTTGAGGTGAGTTTTTCAATCAGTTCTTGGAGTGGTGCAAGTTCTCTTCTATCAATAAGGTTGAATTCCTGTGGATGATAGAAGTAAGGGGAAAAGGATATAATTCCCATTTAATTCCAAAGCAGTTTCCCAATAACATTTGGAAGATAATAAGCTTCTAAAGTAAAAAAAAATATTGTGAGGATTATATGTGATATTGTATACTAGTCATTTCATATTCTGGATGACCACTCACTAGCAGTAGATGCTGCCGCCGCCACTAGCCACATCACTAAGTTACATTTAAGAAATTACCTGACCATTATTTAAATAGAGTCTGCAAAGTATGGACCAAATATGTAGTTATCTATAAATATCAGGGGTCATTTAACAGTAGACCAAAAACACAAATAGATACATAGAATAAATTATTAAATATTTAAACTATACATTAAGCCAGCAAGTGTTACATAAAATATATTCTATCTTCCTAATTTGACAAATATACGTTCATAATGACCAGGAAAGCAGATTACAATTAAGAATCTTCATTGAAAAGCAATGACCTGGGAGAGCCATCTCCAGGTCTGTGGCCCTCAGCTCACTTGCTTGCTCTTTCAAACTCTACCTTAAGGAGCCTAACATAACATGCATGCATGTAGATATTCAGACTTGCACATTTAAGCACTGTCAACATTTCCTTCATAATAGTGTGTTAGTTGTCTATCCCTCAGGTATAGAGGTATATATACTAACAACTATAAAGATGTGACTTACACTCAAGAGAAGAAACTGGAGGAAAAAAAATCTGTGCAGATCCTGAATGTGAACTCACAGCCTTGTGGGTAAGGAGTACTAAGGTCTGAGGTACCTAAGTATGTACCAAAAGATTCTGGGTAGATAGGTCTCAGCCATAAGAGTCCCTCCTGCTATGAGATGGAAGTCTAGCTGAAGAAGGACTAGGCCAGGATTCTTTAGTGGGTCCAGTGGCAGATAAAACTGTGAGTCTATATCACTAATGGACCTTAACAAAACTAATAGGCTATAACCAAAAAGGAAAATTAAGCCTCCCTAGAACATCCTTACAGACCTGTCAAGGAACATGGTTCAGGTATAACAGCTATTTCACAAGAGAATGATGAGCAATCTCCTCCCATGCAATTTACTGCCTCTTTCAACCCCCTGGAGGATCAGTTATAAATTAGTTCCAACTAATGGTACACACCAAGGAAATCCTTTCAAGTGTCCTGAGATGTAAATAGGATCAGGTGGGTAACAGCTCTATTATTTGCTAAGAGGGAATTCTTTATATTTTTGTGTATCACTCTTCTATTATTTGCAAAGAGTTAAGAGAATATACTCCGAGATTATGCACTAAGGTTAAACCAGCAGTTGTGTGGGGGAAAAAGTTCCTTCCCCAATCACAAAGACCTGAACTTTAGCCTAACTCAAAGCAGAGATGCAAATATTAGATTATATTTGCTTCTACTAAAGCCCTGGATATGCTCACCAAGTTGTGCCAAGAAATCTGGAGAACAACCACTTGGCCAACTGACTGGCAAAAAGATCTATATTTGTTCCCATTCCAAAGAAGGGTGACCCAACAGAGTGTGGAAACTATGGAACAATATCATCGATTTCACACGCAAGCAAGATTCTACTGAAGATTATCGAAAAACGACTGGAATAGCACATCAGCAGAGAACTGCCAGAAGTCTAGGCTGGGTTTAGAAGAGGTCGTGGTACTAGGGATACTGTACCTGATGATAGATGGATCTTAGCTGAAAGCAGGAAATACCAGAAGAATGTCTATCTGTGATTCATTGATTATGCAAAGGCATTTGACTGTGTGGATCATAACAAACTGTGGCTGACTCTGAGAAGAATGGGAATCCCAGAACACTTGATTGTGCTAATGCGAAACCTATACGTGGACCAGGAAGTAGTCCTCTGAACAGAGCAGGGAAACACTGCATGGTTCAAAATTGGGAAGGGCGTATGCCAGGGATGCATCCTGTCTCCATACCTTTTCAACCTGTATGCATAACAGATTATCTGGGAGGCTCGGGTCTATAAGGATTAGTGTGGCATCAGAATGGGTGGAAGATCTATCAACAATCTACATTATGCAGATGACACAACCCTGCTTGCTAAAATTGAGGAGGACCTGAAATGCTTGCTGCAGAGGGTCAAGGACTGCAGCCTTCAGTATGGATTGAGGCTCAATGTCAAGAAGACAAAGATTCTCACCACTGGACCAATTGGCAGCATCACGATGGACGGTGAAGAGATTGCGACTGTTAACAACTACTGTTTGCTTGGTTCCACGGTCAACACTCTTGGCATAAGTAGCCAGGAAATTAAAAGACTTATTACGATGGGAAAGTCTGCTGTTAGGGAACTCTCCAAAGTACTTAAGAGGAATGGTGTCTCTCTGGAGACTAAGGTGCATCTGATATAGGCTATGGTCTTTGCAATCACTTGTTATGCATCAGAGAGTTGGACAATGACTAGGAAGGATAGAAGAAGAACTGATGCCTTTGAGCTGTGATGCTGGAGAAAAGTACTGAATGTACCATGGACTGCCAAGAAAACAAACAGATTCATCCTGCAGAGGGTTAAATCAGGCTGCTCCTTGGAGGCAAGGATTCTGGGGCTTCGTCTGACATACTTTGGACATGTTGTAAGGAGGGACAGTTCCTTGGAGAGGGACATCATGCTTGGGACGGGGGAGGGATGGCGCAAGAGGGGAAGACCTACTAGGAGGTAGACTGATTCAATGACTGGGGTAATCGGGATGGGTGTGTCAGAGGCAGTGCAATTGGCACAGGATAGAACAGAGTTTAGGGCTGTTGTATATAGGGTTGCTATAAGTCACAAACGACTCAACAGCACATAACAACAAAGTCTGTATTATTTACAGCCTCTGAAAACCCACTGGAGGGTTCGCTATGGGTCTGTTCCAACTTAGCAGCACACAACAACAAAGTGTGTATAGAGAGCTCTGGTAGCCTAGTGGTAAGAAGCTGTGCTGCAATCCCAAAAGCATGTGGTCTGGATACACCAGATGCTCCATGGGAGAAGGATAGGCTATCACTTCCTGTGTTATTTTCTGCTTTTGAAAACTCACTGGATTGTCAGCTATGGGTCAGTTCTGATTTACCCAGACACAATAACAACAAAGTCTACATAAGAAAATGCTGAAGTCTATATATAGGGGGTTGTGCTGCTAACTCCAAGCCCAAGCCTCTCTGGCAATTTTCATCCACCTGTGGCATCAAAGGAGAAAAATGGGCAATCCCCTTGGAATGGGTTCCAATTCAATGGCAATAAGTGAATATTTAAAGGGAGCCCTGGTAATGTAGTGAGTAGAGTAACAGACTGCTAACCAAGTCAGCTGTTCTACCAGCAAATGTGCTGAAGAGAAAAAGATGTACTCACAACCTATAAAGATTTACAGTCCAAGCATCCTGACAGAGACTCTTTTAAGTTGGCTCTGTACTGGCAACAGTGAAGTTTTAAGAGTGTCTATATCCTAGTAAAGTAATTGTTGAGGACAATAGTTTTATTAAAAATACTTTTATGTATGTGAGAGGAAGACACAAAATGTCTGCCTTCAGATTGAGAAGGTGACAGAAGGAAAATGGGAAGATTTTTTAAAAGTAGGTAAGGGAGGGGTGGTTATAAATATAACCCACAGATAAACAAAACCAACAATGACTCAAGCCTTGAGCTTTGCCTGTCTACCTCTTCACTTTACACCTTTATACCCTTCCGCCAAAAGGTGAGGAGGAAGGCTGATGAGCTCATTCATTTTCACCACTTTTCCCTGCTTGTGGCTTAATATTATAGAAGGAAAGGAAAGAAATATCCCCCAACTCCACGTCCTCCTCTCTTAAGTTCAGTTCACTGAGGACTAATTAAGACAGAAAATACAGGTCACCTAGGAAATCAGATCAAAAACTAATGGGCCTTTGGAATAGAAGCACTCATTTGGACTTTTTTTTTTCTATTCCCCTTCATAATACTTAGAGATTTTGAAAAGAAGAAATAAAAGGCATGATAATTAAAGCCCATTTCCAGGTCAAAGTCAAGAACGAAGAGGGGAAAAAAGAAAAAAGTCCATGCTATACGATAGTAGGGAGCTAGCAGGAGTTGAAGAAGTGCTTTAAAACTTCTCAATAGATATGCCTCAGCAGTTTGGCTCCTTATTCAGCCATCACTCTATGACCTGTGAACTAAAGCAAATCCCAAGCAAGACCTCTCCTATTCATTTTAGATTTGCATGCCACATGCTTGGAGACTAATGAAATGTGGAAATAAAAGGTCAAGTCATCATCATAAATAAAGAGGATACAGAGAGTTATGGAAAATTCTCTCCTGACAGTGTGGTTGTATTCATTGTAGAGCTCTGTGGATAAATGTTTATATTAAAAACCAAACAATCTCTAACCCAACTCACCTGGACAAAAAAAATAAAGTGCTTGAAAGATGTATTGAGATGTGCTTCCTCCTGAAGTTGAATCACAGGATCAAAGTGCTGATGGTAAATGTGAGCATAGACTCTAAAGAGGCGTTTGAGTATGGTTTTTGCCACAGACATGAAATTCTTCGGGAACGGGACACCTAGTAAATAGATAAAGAATCAACCCTATTAACAAAAAGATGAAAAGAAGATAGCATGAGTTTGTCAGGAAATTATTAAACAAATTATAAAGGATGAAAATGTACCTTCTAGAAGTTGTCAACATCATGAATCAAAGTTTCTATGGAATAAGAACTAATCTTCATTATAGCCCTTAAGGCTTCTTGGAAGCAGTGTAGCCAGAAAGCTCTTTAGAAGCCAGGACAGTGATACTTAAGTCTCACCTACTTTGGACATATTACCAGAAGTAACATGGGTAAAACTGAAGGTCAGAGAAAAAAAAAAAAAAAAGAAGACCTTCAATGTGATAGAATGGCACAGTACTTTTTACAATGGGCTCAAACAGCAATAACTGTCAGGATGGTACAGGACCCAGCAGTGCTATGAGTCAAACCAATTCAACAGTACCTAAGAAAAATAATATGCTTCTAACATAAAATACCACTTTACTAAAAAAGAAAACTGATGAATATTGAAGGTAGCATTCAAAACCCAAACTCAGATCATTGCCACTGAGTAAATTCTATAATGATTCTATAGAGCAGAACTACCCAAAAGGGTTTCCAAAGATAAAAGAATTTACACTGAACAATCAGGGTTCCTCCAAAGGTGGCAGTGGGGCTAAAATTCATGCTAAATTCCCCAAATTCCTATCTGTTGAACACAAATAATGAATTATTGTTTACTTTTTTAAGCTGAAAATTATGCTATAAATCTTTATCAGTTTTACTATAGAAATTACTCTTACTCTAGATCTATATTTGGTCTGAAATTAACGACAGTCTACTCAATTAATTGCTGAATTAGAGCACAATTATAGAACTAAACAAAAATACCGGAGAAAGATAAGCAATACCTTAGAAACCTGATAGAGGGTAATCCTGAGTAGAAATTCACCCAAAAGCGGGAAGTGTGGTTTTTAGTGTTTAATGTAGAGTATTATAAAAAACGTAAAATAAAATGATTGTCTTAAGTCAGGAACTATGGATAAGTATTTTGGAGTAAGTTTATCTTTAACAAGTAAATATTCATTTTAAAAAGCTAAGTCAAATCAGGGGCTAAGAGAACTCAATTCCCATGGATATTGTAGTTATTTCACCACTAAGAAAAGGAAATTTTAAGCCTCTTCTCAAAAAATCTTAATATACACACAATTCTATTGAACTTCTCCAACTGGAATCAAGAGTGAAAGTAGATGTAGACGTCAAGAACAATCCTAGAAACACATAAAATTTGATAAAACATGATAGATTTAAATTATCTAAAATAATTATACCAATTTTTGATGGAAATAATGTCTCATCATCCAACTGGTCCTGAACCCAAGTCATCAAGTAATCAATATACTTTGGTGCTGAACATTTAATAGGCTTCTTGATATTTGTTCCATCTGCCCAATGATACTCATATCTACATTGGAAAGATAAAAACCAGAGAATTAGTACATACCTATACATAGTGAATACATTTTATAGATGCATGTGTATATAAATGTACACACAGATATGTTTTAAGCCATCTATTTTTCTGAACATGTATTTTTAAACTGCCAGTAGGCTATTCTGCATTTATCATGATCCAAACCAGAAAGACCTTATCAAATTAATTTTTGTTAGTGTTTCTATGCTGTCCTCACATATTAGTTATATGTTCTTAAGGCGTTGCACTGTCCACTAATCTACAAGCAGGAGAAAGAGCAGCAAGCTCTTTCTGTGCAATTTACTGCCTCTGAAAACTTGGTGAACGGTAAGCTATTAATTAGTTCTAACTCAACAGTATGAAACAATAACGATAATATTTACAATTACGCAATGCCATACTAAAAAAGCTAGCTTACTTCTCAGTTTTATGAAGACCAAATTGGAACTTCTTTTTTTAACTCCTTATAGGAGCTAAATTTACTTTTAAAGAAAACTGGTAGCCATATAAATATGACTACAGACCTTGAGTATAAACAAACAGTAGCCACTGGTAAACATTTAATATGCACCCTCTGAAAACCTAGCGGATAGTAGATGGTCAGTTCTAACTTGAAGGTACACAACAATAGTGTGAGAGATACTGTGTTAAAAAACAGATAAAAATGAAAGGTATTTTCTCTACCCATTAACAAAATAGTGATTAGATTAATAGTGAAGATAAATTTGCAAATGAACACCTAATAGGAATCTCTTCTGAATATATATTTTTAGTAAGGTGTGAATTTATAAACTACAAATGCCAATACATCCATCATTTCACTTCATTCTTAAAAATGATAAAATATAGTAACAGCAAACAAAATTCTGAGTCATCATGCATCAGGCTAGTCTAATCTATTCACATATGACTCTCCTTGGGGCAATCCTGTTTCTGCTGATAAGGATGACATAGCAAGACTATATCTTCATAGTGGTAAAGAGACACAAATAGTGTTTTTTATTTCAGACTCTTGAAATAAAGAAAAAGTGAAGGAAATGAAGGAGGGAAGGAAAGGAAAATAAAAATTGATGCCTATACATAGAATTACTGTATTTAAACTAGCTAGGTGGTATAGCACTGGTCTGTGCGTTGCTGTACAGAGGTAACTCGTGGTTGCTGTGATGCTGAAGCCTGTGACAGTGATGTGCCAATCATGGTAATGGGCACCCATGGTGGACAGTGTTGGCTGGAGCTTCCCGACTAAATCAAGCCTGGAAGCAGGAGCGGCATCCACTTCCAAAATGGCTTGCCTCCGGAAACTCTCTGTATGAACAGTGCTCAGGCTGTTCGTTCATAGGGTCGCGATGAGTCGTCTACGACTCGACGGCATTAAACAACAACAACA